CATGAGGTTGGCAATAAGAGCTAGAGGAGTTATACCACATGTTATGAATGTTGCTAGTTTAACTACAATTGCATGGCATTGAGCAATTGCACTAACTACTACTCTAGTGTCAAAAAGGAGGAGGTTGCTGCTCTGCTATGAAGATAAATGAAAAGAAAAAAAAGTAAAAAAGAATAAATTGAAAAAGTTACAAAGAAAGTGAGACTCAAACAATACAAAAGTTATATCTAAACCAAAATCCCAATTCCAAGCACTCATCAAAGATAATTAAAGTTGCCCCTCACTTCCACCAATATGAGTGCATAGAATATGGAAGATTGGTTTCAATCTATACCACTTGCTCCTATATATAAACCAAGTTTTTGGATTAATTAATATGCATATTTTTGTATTCCAGATGATTATCAAAATCCTACTACATTATTATTGTTAGCATCATATCTATATTTTCTATTCTCAATTTCTTTACATAAAATTTTCTATTTATATATCTTTATAAAATTTAATAATTTAAATAGCATCTCAACTTCTAGTAATTTGATTGAAACATGAAAGATTTTGTTAAAAATTTTCTTTGTGAAACTCAAATTTTGAGTTGGATATTTGGTTAAATTCACTTGATAATGCATCAAGCTCCCTAGCTAAAACCATAGGTCCACAATAGAAGACACCTTCATAAGCAAATGCAATAAGAAAGAAAATAAAAAAGAAAAAGAGAAAATCTCACTCACCTATTCTTGAATTTGTATGAATGTTGGCAAGCCTGGAAAATACTTTATACCATTTGGGTCGAGCAAAGTGAGTTCTAACCTGAGTATTGGTAAGAGATTTATTATAAGCAATCAAAATGAAATCAGATCAAAGATCTTACTCTTGTTCCTGAGACAATGTCAACACCATTCTTGGCATGATGAAAAGCTTGCATCATTGTGATGAGAGCTGAGCGAGCATCCCCTTCTTCATAAACGCTGGTGAGATAGTTATGCATCTCGATCACTGCCTGCAAGAATATATTTTAGTGTGATATTGTCATGATCAGGCATCACCTTGTTGTCAATCTCGGCAACTTCGTTTAACACTCCTCTAAACCACTCGAACGAGCCTTGCTCTCGAGTGACCCAGTAGAAATATGCATTCGTGGGACATTGCAGCTTTCTTTCATTTCGTTTCCTGGGGCTTCGAATCTGCTTCATCGACAAGAACTGGCAAAACAATAATAATAATAGGTATGAAGATATAATACCTGTTGTTGATCTGCCAGTTTTATTTGGTTTAGCATGTCTTTGAGAACGCTGATGAAAGGCGTTGCTCCAATTCCAATTCCAACGAGCAGTAAAACATCATATTTCTGATAATCCTGGGCTGGAGCTCCATAAGGTCCATCGATTTGAAGCTTTGGGAATCTGAGAGAAAGCTTGCAATTTAAAAGTTATAAGTAACCTTTGAATAGTGTACCTGTGTCTTATGATGCTAATGTCGCTGCTCTCACTCTCCAGAACATTTTCTTTCTCTGCAAGACCTCCAAGTGCCTGAAAAACAAAAGAGATCTCTTGAACAAACCTAAGCAAAATAACAATACTATCCTAAGTGTTTTCTACTTACCTTGGAGAAGATTCTTCTAAGCTCCTCCGTCCAGTCCCCCACAGTTCGTATATGCACGCTTAAATGCCTGTCACTAGGAGCGGAGGTAATAGAAAATGGATGCCTGAAAACAATGTAAATAGCTTCCAAAATAATGTTTTCTTGAACTTACCATTCAAAAGGAGAGATGGATATACATTTGATAAATAGATACATGCCACTCTTATACTTGAACGTAGGTGGCTTTGTCATCTTCAAGGCAAGAACATTTCCAGGATGAATAGCAGCCTTCATATACACAAAAGAGTTTAACAGCAACTTCCACAATCCAATGAAACTTCTCACCTTGACAACTTGTACTGTGAAATGTCTAGCTCGAAATGCTGAGAGGATCCTCTCCACTGAGTAAAGAAGCACTGGCACAGAGAGATACATCCATGTCTACCAGATCAAAACTCATACTTTTGTTAGGACAACATGCTAGGAAAACAAACTGTAACCAGCTTACTGATTTCGCCACCCAGTCGTTTGTGAAAAATAAGAAGATGGAGTGAAGCAGCAAAAGCACGTAAACCACCATGAAAAGGTGGTGGGAGTACCAAAATGCGTTAAACCCCGTCAACCTGTGCAAGGGCCAAGGGAGCCTCACGAGATTCCTACGAAACCATCTCGTTGCCAGCACGAACGCAATGCTCATCATAATCACCATGCTAATCCCTGTAACACCCTCTATAGAAACCAAGATCCCCACGTAAGTTGGCTGCTTGTAGTGGAACCCTCGCCCGAGATAGATCATAAACTCTTCCTCGCTCGCCCGGATGATCCTGGGAAAATCACACGCGAGGTGAACCGTCGCGTGGATTCCAACCCCCGCAACGATGGCTCCTGCAATTATCTGCAAACGTATCAGTCACCAGGAACTTAGAACCCACAGCACGAACTTTCTACTTCACTATTTGGTTCTCAGAAACTTTAGTTCTAAACGCTTGCCTTGTGGAAGTTTAGATTGTCATCGAATGGAACAACACTTCCCACGATCGTGGAGCGAAGCCAAGTGATGGTGTTCCTGCAAACCGGGAGGAGAACCAAAGCCATGTTGAGCTTGAGCGTCTCGGCGGCTCCTTTGGCCGAACAAAGGCAGTAGCCGAGAAGCTTGAAAGCCGAGGTTTGCTTGTACGTGAAGAACTTCCAGAGAAAAAGCCCACACATTGCAAAGATCCACAAGCCCACCACCCAGACGCGCTGCCAGTTCTCGATGACGAAGTATTTGATCTTCCTAGCCCAGAGTATGATCTTCCCGGATTGTTCAAATGCCAGAGTCTGGCTCCAAGTTTGGCTGTAATTGAGATAACCATCTTGTGCTAGTGATGCGAATTGTCCCAGCATCAAACTCTCGAGCTGCCAGAGCTAGCAAATCAAAGAAGAGATTGAAAAGGTGGTGAAGGTTTTATAAACTTGAAACTTACTTCAATGTAGCCGATTCCGTTGGGATCCAGCTCTTCCATGATGAGGGCCGCATATTCCTCGGCTTGCTCGTTGAGCTTTGATAGCTTGTTGGCCGAAGCGCTGAGAATAATAATCTGGGACGAAAACCAAAGACAGAGTAGTGTATTTAAGATAGAAGTGGAGCCTATCAGCTAAATTCCACGCACCTCTTTCACTTCTTCCTCGGTGATACGTCCATCTGCGTCCTTGTCACACCTAAATTATAGGAGAACAAGATAGAAAACGATAAGAAGGTGGCGGGCAATGAGATTATTTAAAACGTGAGAAGAGTGGGAGTGATGCGCTTACATATCGAAAAAGATTTGGATCCTGGAGTCGAAGCTTTGGTCAGATAGCTGCAACCAAAACTCGTAGAGCTCCTCTTTGTTAATGCACTGGAGGTTTTGGTGCTTCCTCCGTGCAAGCGCGTCGAAAAGCTCGCCAGTGAATTCCCTCGAGTCTGGCATCCCTGGAAGAAAAAACCATTGCAAGCTTGAGAGATTTCAGCCGAGAAATCAGATAAAAGAAAAAGAAAAGTTTTATGTGAGCTTGGGAGGAGAAGAACGCAAAATGGGGAAGAACAATGTCAAAAGTTTGGAAACGTGTCAAGAAATTCTCGCTATGGACCACGAGAAACATGTAGAACATATAGAGGCAATCCATTCATGCAAGAACTTTTATCCATCATGGAAACTTGTGAGTGTGTGTGTGTGTGTGTGTGAGAGAGAGAGAGAGAGAGAGAGAGAGGAATTGAAATTGCTCACCAATGCACAGGCCAAAATCGCCACGATCGAGCATCCCATCTGGCTTGGCGAGCTGTTGAAACCTCATCTCCACCGCCTCCCACACCGCCTTTTGGTCCGCGCTCTCGATCGCGCGGCTGATGTATCGGAGCCCCTGCAACGCAGTCTCGGCCCCGGATCTCGATCGCACCAGGAACAGATCCCCACTCTGCTGCTTGCGAATTCGCGGCTGCTGCTGCGATGCCGATGATCGCGACGACACCGCGCTATTGCTCCTGCTCAGCGCCAGGATCTTCACCAGGGGGTCGCGATCCGGCGAGCTGGGCCGCGACCGCGACCTCGATCGCGGGGTGCTCGCCGCCCAGTTGCGAATCAGCTCCAGCTCCTGGGAGATTTGCTTGGAGATGAATCGCCCCGACTGGGTCGTGTGGCGCAGCAAGCTCGCCAGCGTGATCCTGCCGCTGGGCTGTGGATCGTCGCAGCGATCGTCCAGCGCGCTCACGGTCCTCACCCTTACATTGTCGTTGCGCACATCGATTGTCAATTCCAGCATCCTGGATTCGTCCACATTGTCCTCGTCCCCTGGCGATTTAGGACATACTTCCATTGCCTCGCAAGAACACGAGCGAAATCTTCCCCCTTCTCTAGATAGCTCGATCAAAGCCACGATTTGAGGCACGATCGCCAATTGGGTTCCAGGATCTGCCCTTGAGCAATGGAATTTAGCGAAATCCTGGATCAAATCATCGCTCTAGCCTGCTCTGCTGCGAAATTGTCAGCTCCCTGGAACAATGTATGCTCCCAGGATTGACTAAGATCGCTGTTCACGCCATAGATGTTGCCCTTTTTCTCTTGTCTTCAAATTCCTCCAGCTGGTGAGAGAAGCATCGCTCGCGACGATTGATTGATTGGGATCCCTGATCCCTCTTTTGCCTGCCAACAGTAAGCCTATAGCGAAGGAAATTTTCTATTCTTCTTCCCACAAGTCCACCATGGCTAACGAAGCTTCTCCTTCTTCTATTTCCACTTCCATTCTTTCTCTATTCTTTCGCTCTCTCTCCCTCTCCCTTTTCTTATTGCCGCTTTGTATTTTTATTTTTGCCCTAGCTTCGCCATCGCTGGTTTCCAGCTGCTCGCACGAAGTGTGACGACTTCCTATTCGCAGGACCGAATATTCGCCAAAAGGGCGGCTTAACCTAAACCACTACAGTTAATGCGGAACCAAACCCAGCCAATAGCGACGCGACACGTGGCCCACTCGTCGGTCAGTTTAAAAGCCTCGAGTTCCGCTGACCGGCCCAATCTAGTGCCCGAAAAAAGAATTAGCCACCAATTAAGTAAAGCAAAATTCAATGCACGTCTTGCATGAATCATGATAGAGAACGACGTATATGCCACCGAGTTTGAGTGGAGAACTTTGATTCCTTTTTTTCTTCTTTAGCCAAGGACCTGGCAATGGGGGAGAAAATTGGCCGATCAAAGTGCTAGAAAACTCACTCTTACCTCGATCAAGTCTCTCAGTGTCCTCCCGGTTGCTAGTGATGTGCCTGGAAGTGATAACAACGTGTAAGAACTTTAGATGTAAGAGATCACCAAGAAACACAATTTTGAGAAACTTGGACCTGCGAGGAGCTGAGAATCTCCACGGCAGTAGTGATGTCCCCGTTTGAAGCACTCAAAGCTTCGCTTGCTCGGCTCTGTCCAGTAGAAAGTTAAAGGACGATGTTAGCAGCGCAAACGAGATAGCGGAAAAAAGGACCAAACCTGTTCAAATCCCATTGCCACCAAGCTCCGGAGGCTGGCAGCTTTGTCTACTTGTTGCCCCTGAGAGAAAAGATAATATTTTTTTTCGGGTAAGCGCACGACTGACATGGAAGTTTCAAACAAGGAAAACCTGGACGGCTGACTGTGGAGGCGCATTGCTACCGCCTCTGGCTGGAGTGGAAGGCCTGTGAAACACAGATTCTAGCTGAGGAGGATGTAAACTTAATCCATACCTTATTCCTGGCGGTGATGGCCTTCCATGGCCACCCGTAGAAACGGGAGGAGCTTCCACTAATTCGAGGTCGTCGTCTTCCAGTAATCTGGCTTCTAGATCCGTCGCATTTGCGGTTGCTGGCGGCGTGGTTTGTTGCTGCAGCCTTGAAACACCTCCCAGTGTTCTACCAGTGCCGGGGAACCTCTGCCAAAAGGAACAAAGTCAGGCGCACCGCATGAAGCTTTGTGCGTAAAATACCTCATCGATAGGAACGTCTCTTTGTGGCGTCAACGAAGACCGCAAGCGGCTCCATGTGTCACCAAAGTTGAGGGTGTTACTGCTGCCGAAAGGCGAAAGGCAATGTTTTAAATGACAGAAGGCAAAGGCCAAACAACATACCTCGAAGTAGAAAACGTAGGAAGAGTTGCATTGGCAGAGCCACCCCCAACAATAAATCCCGGCCTTCTCATGCACGATGCCTGTTTCAATCAAAGAAGTTAAAGCCTTAAAAAATCGTGCTTTTTACAAGTAAAGAAGAGCTTTCGATCTTTGTGTATGTCGCCTGGGACAGCATTAAGACGTTGAACAATCCATAAGAATCTACAAAAACCACGTGAATCAGAAAAACGCATCAAAGCCAAAACCTTCTTACGGACATGAAAATCCAGACAAAATCCCGCTAAGATGCCCGAGCAACGAAACTCTTGGCATGATCATCTGGAAAATGATCAATAAAACCCATGGATACCTGTAAATCAAACTTTAGAGAGGCTACAAGAGCAGAAAATGTCCTTACCATTTTGCAGGCACGTTGAACAAACCAAAGATGCTACAGCAAGAAGTTAGCCAACTGAAGCGAAGAAAATCCAACAATACCTTCGATTTTGGCCGGTGTAGAGGCTGCCTTCTATGACGATCATGGCAAAGAGAATGCCGGAGAAACCAATCTGGCACTCCATCAACACACTCTTGTGCACATAAATCGGGTTGTACGCGACAATGTAGGCAATGAGGATGTGAATCACCGCGTTGCTCACGGCCAGAAGCAAGATGACGTGAAGATATCTCACGGACCCCATAACACGCTCCAACGAGCTTCCAATGGGAACCAAAGCAAGCATGTTGAAAAGAACGTGTAGAAGCGATGCATGGAACAAGACAGCGGTGATAGCCCTATACACTGAAAAGGAAGAAACATACTTCATTTGCCAGAAAAAAAAAATTCCTTGCTTGAAACTTACCTTGAAAATTACCGATCACAGTGTCTGTGGAGAAGCACACTTGCTGGAAAGTGTCGTAGCCAATGAGAAGATCCACGATGTAGATGGCAACGCAGAGGATGAGAGTTCCTCCAGTGATCGCCGGAATGCTCGCCCACCATTGCGAAGCGCGAGTGCTCAAGCTAGCCTGCAAGAATAGAGAAAGTTAGGAGCGGCGGCGCCCTCTCTTTTCTCTTTACCTCCGAAACCACGTTAGGCGGCATGGGCCTGGACTGGAACTCCCCTCTCGCCAGGGTTTCCAGAGGATTCCGCCACGGAAAGGCGAGGCAAAGTTCCGTAACGGAAAGCCTCCCGCGATCAACGGTGACGATACGCGGGGATGAAGATCTTGCAGCCCGTCACGAGGGCTTCCCTCCGCCACGACCAGCTCCTCGAGGAGCTGCGATGCGCGGCGATCAAGCCCAATCTCTCGCAGACCAAGCGGCTCCACGACCAGATCCTCGCCAATGCTCGCATCCGCCAGAAGCCCTTCCTCCTCAACCGGCTGATCTACCTGTATGGCAAATGCGGCGCGCTCGATCAGGCCTGGGAGGTATTCGTGAACAAGTACCAGAGAGATTCCTTCTCCTGGAACTTGATCATCGCGGCCTACGCAGAGAATGGAAGATTAGAGAGAGCGAGGGAAGTTTTCGACAAGATGGACGAGCCAGATGTGGTTACCTGGACGACGATGCTCCGCGCCTACGCCCAAGCCGGGCAGATCGCCGAGGCGCGGCGGCTCTTCGATCGCATCTCCTCGCCCGACACCGTCGCCTACAACACGATCATCGCGGCCTACATCCACGCCAGGGAGCTGGATCAGGCGCGGCAGCTCTTCGATCGGATGGAGAAGAAGAGCATCTGTACCTGGAATTCGATGATCGCGGCCTATTCCCAGCTCGGGGATCTTGAAATATCAAGATCCATGTTCGATGCGATGCCGCGGCGCAGCGTAATCACCTGGAACTCGCTCGTCACGGCCTACGCTCGATCCGGCGAGCTGGATGCTGCGGACAGCCTCTTCGATCGGATGCCGCAGCGCGACGTCGTCTCCTGGACCGCGATGCTCGCCGCAAATACCCTAGCCGGGAACCTCGATCGCCTCCGCGCGCTCTTCGATGCGATGCCCGAGCGCAATGCCGTGTCGTGGAACTCGATGATCTCAGCGCACACGCACCGCGCGCGGCCGGACGACGCGCAGGATTTCTTCGATCGAATGCCAATGCACACAACCCTAGCCTGGAACACGCTTCTCTCCGCGCACGCCCAGGTCGGCAACGTAGAGGGCGTGGAGTGGATATTCCACCGCATCCCAGAGAAGAACTCCCTCTCCTACACCGCCATGGTCCGGGCATATTCCCAGAACAATTTGCTAGAGCAGGCGCGTCGCGTCTTCGATTCCATGCCCCAATTCGACATCGTCTCAGCAAATGCCCTTCTTACCGCAAATGCCCTAATGGGGGATCTAGAGTCAGCAAAGCGTATCTACGCCCAGATTCCCTTCCCAAGCCCCGCGGCGTGCACGACCATGATCACAGCATATTCCCAGCAAGGGAATATCCGGCAGGCAAAGATTCTCTTTGACTCCCTGCCCGAGCCGGACGTGGTATCTTGGACCGCGATGGCCGCGGCATTTGCCGACAACGGGAATATCCTCGAGGCGAAGCGGATATTCGACACCCAGCCAGTCCGGGATCGCATCTCCTGGACGGCGATGGCCGCCGCGTTCGCGAGCAATGGCTTCGCGCGAGAGGCGATCCATCTCGTGTGGATCATCAGCCTGGAGGGGCTCAGGGCGGACGAGGCGGCATTCTCGAGCGTGCTGAGCGCCGCGAGCCGGGTGGGGAGATTGGAGGACGCGATCGAGTTCTTCGTCTCCATGATCGGCGATCACGGGCTCGCCCCAGTTCGCGAGCATTACTGCTGCGTCGTGGATGGGCTCGCGCGCGCTGGGCGATTGGCCGATGCCGAGGAGCTCGTCGAGAGCATGCCATTCCTCCCCGGGGACACCGCTTGGGGATCGCTGCTCACGGCGTCGAGGACCCAGCGCGATCTGGATCGCGGCGAGAGATCCAGTGGAGAGATGGGCGATCTAGATCCCAGTAATGCCGCGCCCCTCAAGACCATGTTTAATATATACAAGGAGAAAGATCATCACCATCTCTCATAATCAATGCTTCTTCTTCCTTCTTTGACACACAGAGTGATACCTTCGCTATCACTCCCTGTAGTTGTAAAGCCTGTGAGATTTCACGTATTCGATCACGCCATCGTGAACTAGATACTTCACCGACAGTGCCCTCTCGAAGCTTTGCCTGCGAAGAAAGAAAACGAGAGATTTTAGAGACAAAAGAGTGATTTTTCTTCACCTGACGATTGTGGAGCTTACGCCGATCTGTGCCATGTCTTCCATAGCCAGGATGTTTCTCTGCAAAATCTCCGGAGAACACAAAACCATGACAAGAGAATGAGAAGACTGCTGGGAGCTTACTCGGTGTCTGTGCAAAGTCTCGTTTTGGAAGACGACTTTGTCGATGCTTTGTCCGTCCCTGCTGAGACAGACGATCCCGTAGTCTCGACAGATTCGCTCTACGTGATCCGGGATCCAGATGCTTGCGTCTTCCAAAGTTGCGAGGAGATCAACTCCGCAAAGCAGCATTATCCTTACGGTTCCTGCGTAGCGTGACAGACGTTTACTTCAGTTCCTTGAAACGCAAAAAGAATCAATCAGTCGCTGACCTTCAGTGATCATTCCGCCATTGATACAGTGATCTACTCTAGCTAGAACATCGACAGTTCGTTGACGTGTTGGTTGCCTCGCCTAAAGGAAACTTAAGCGTCAACATGAGAAGACCAAAGAAAAAAAAACCATTTTTTTACCTCCCAGCTATCAACCATGATGAATGGCGAGTCTGCTGTAGAGATTTGACACATTTGTATTCTATGCTCAGCTAGAGCCAGCCCCTGGAAGACGAACAGCGAGTTAAGAAACATCGATGTTTGGAGAAGAACCTACAGGCTTTGCATATCCGTCGTGAACAGGAGACATATAACCGCCGAGTACGCTATATCCCTCCGACATCAAACGGTTCCTGGCGAGCTCTATAGAAAACGAAAAACCGAATGTAAGTTCCTGGCGAGCTCTCTAGAAAATGAAACAAAAAAAAAGTGAATGTAAACTACGAAAGCCTGGAAAGACATACCAAACATTCGAAGATGCATGATCGTCGGAGGATTGAAGCTTCCGGTGGCAACGAGAATCACACCCGGTCTCCTGGCAAAACCAACAAAACCCAGCTGCTAAGAGCGATCAAAAAGAGACTGAAACTCTCACCGCAAAGAGCCATCCAAGTTTCGTATCAGCTGGCTCCCGAGCTTGTCCAAGCAGATTGGAACATCGACATGACCTGCAAATCTTATAAGCAGAATGAACCGAATGAAAACGAACGAAAAAAAAACGAAAGAAAAGCGAAAAAAAAGAAAGAAATGGAAGAACTCGCAACGTACTTAGAGCCATCTCAAACCGAGACAAGGAACTGCTGCTAGAGTTCCCAGCAACCGTGGAGTTCCCAGCCATGGTGGAGTTGCCATTCCCGGGAGCTCCATTTGGATCCAAGCACCGCGCCCTCCTTCCATTCCTATCCCCGAGAAACTCCGCCATGCTCTCAAACAACTGGACTCTAAACGTCGCCGGGAGCTCCTTGGCCTTGGTCTTCTCCTTCTTAAGAACATCGTCCAGCTCCCAGTAGCTGGGATGCCCGATCTTCTTGTTCCACTCCACGATTTGCTTGTAGGCCGTCAAGAGATTCGACCACTTTCGCTCGATCTCCTTGGGCTGCCGATCCACGCCCATCGGCAGCAGCAAATTCCTCACCTCGGTCCACTTCTCGTTGGCGGATTTGAAGACGTGCTTGCCATTCTTCCCGGCCAGGAGGAGCTTCATGTGGACTTGCTTGTAAGCGCTTACCAGGGCGTCCATCTCCGAGTCCTGCCACATCTCCGCCCGCTTCTTCTTGCTGCCTACGCTCTCCGTCTTGTCGATCTCGTCGCCGCCGAGCCCCTCCTCCATCGCTGCCGGATGATGCTGGTGATGCTGCTGCTGGTGATTGCCCGCCGCCCCCAAATCCCTGGAGAAGCTGCCCAGGCTCACGGATGGATCCTCCAGATCGGCGGGATCGAATGCGGCGACGCTGGCCTCCTCCGAGGGCGCGAACTTCAGCGGGCTGGGAAGCATACCCGCCATAGCTCGGAGCTTCGGGGAAAAAACCCTAAAAGAAGAAATATTTTTGCTTTGTGGGGTTTAACGGGAATCGAGCCCAGAACAAAGCAATCCTGACGTGGCCGTCGATGTGGCAGGAATTCTGACCTGGCATTTTGCACGTCCCAGATTCTGCCACGTGGTTGAGTAACTAGAGATCTCTAGAGCCTTCGTTTCTTCTCCATTTAAATGCCGGAGAGGGCTACTGGGTGAGTATCCAAGAACAATGGCTTTGGTGTTTAATCCTCTAGCTCTATGCGCTCCTCCAGCGATTACCAGGGTTTGTTCTCGGCCAGGCAATCGCCGCTCCAGCGCCAGGCCGTGCGCTCGCGATAGGCGATTGCGCGTTAGAGCGTCGGCAGCGCCGGATCAAAACAGCATCAAGATCCACCAGCAGCAATCCTCGCCCCAGCAGCTCCAGAGAACGAATGGATCCTCTTCCCCTCCCCAGCAGCAACAGCAGCAGCAAAGGCCCTCGATGGCATCGAGAAGACAATCCTCGCCCCTCTCGCCGCTGGGTAAGAATCTCCGATCGAAATCTCTCTCCCGGACTGATTCTTAGAAATCGCGAATGCCTCTCTCTCTTCACAGATTTGTGGGATCCATTCATGCCGGCGTCCAGGAGCTTCGGCCAGATGCTCGACGCGATGAATCAAATGCTGGAGACTGGAGCGATGCCGACGCCGGCGCCATCGATGCTGCCCACGATCCAGCGCCGGAGCTCCGGGCGATTGCCGTGGGACGTGATGGAGGACGAGGAGGCCTTTAGGATGCGTGTGGACATGCCCGGGCTCGCCAGGGACGAGGTGAAGGTATCGATCGTGGACGATGGCTTCTTGCTGATCAAGGGCGAGACGAGCAAGGAGAGGAAGGAAGGGGGCGACAAATGGGCGGCGCGAAGCGTGGGGTCTTACGAGTCGAGGGTGATGATCCCGGACAATGTGGAGGTGGACAAGATCACGGCGGAGCTGAAAGACGGCGTGCTCTACGTGACGGTGCCCAAGAAGAAGATCGAGGCCAAGAAACCCGTCGAGATTCAGGTGTCCTAGGGTTTAGGGTTTAATTTAGGGCATCCTGTTTAGGGTTTACGCAAGTACAATAAACCCTAAGTTTGCACGGTGAGATCGCGAACTGTGAAAGCCCCACTGTTCATGATGTGACAAAGGTAGACTTCAGAGCGTAGCACTAGCTGCAATCTCAGCAGCCAACGAGATCTGTCAACTTCTCCACCCGCTTTTTGGAACAGGAGTGCTTCTTTTCTCAGTAAGTAAAGTCAGCCTTTGAATTGATCGAGTGCTTGCCCAGGCTCAAATGTTCAGCTACCTATAATTGTGGTTTGGTTTTCGATTGAATTTCAACTGTTCATGTCAGAAAGTAAAATACTGGAGTTCTGGTTCGTAGTTTTTACAAGAACGAAAGGGTTTTAGTTGTGGGTGGTTGTCGTTGTATCACCATCGCCTTGTGGTTCGGTGATAAAACGATACAAAACACCACTGTGACTTGGTTGTGGATCTCAGAACTGCAGGGGAATCTTGAGGACACTGATATGGTAATATATCATACCAGCCGTGTTTGACTTGTACATCGATCGCTGCTGCTCTTGGAACGCGAATTGCTGCCTTGGCATGTGTTTTAGCACAGTCTTTTACAGTTGATTGGATAGTATTTGTTTGCAGGGTCTAGAGCAGGCGTGCATGTCAATGGTGGGCAGATTCAGGGACCACACCAAGTACTTCATTGCAGTCATCTTCGACAAAGCTGCTCATCGCATAGGAGTAACTGTGTTCCCAGGCTACTTTGAGCCGGCCCTTCAGCATCTCGTTGTCTGCAATACATCCTCTACTGCTTGTCGTATTGCTTTGCAGAGAACGGAGAACGTCAATCCCCAGAACCGTCAGCTGAGTATTCTGTGTGTTTGGATATACAATGGCCTGTTGACGAAGGTGAGATCGTGTGTTCCTCATCTCTTTCCATGGAGAAGAGGGGTACTTTAGACCACCTTGTTCTTTAAGAAGGTCCAGTATTCAGAAGTAGGAGGGAGTGAATTCCTTGAGAAGAACAAGTTGTCTAGGAGAAAAGAGGATTGAACTAAGAACTTTGGAGTGGATGGCCACCTTGAGCTTATTCTTGGTAGTAAGAAGTTGCTCGACTAAGGCCTTGCTCTACTAATTGAGGGCGAGCATGGAGAAAAGCTGTGAAAGTGGGAGTAGTCTGGTCCTTAACTGACTACAAAGGGGAGGCGTAATTCATGCCGCATGAACTTCATACAAATATCAACCTGGTGGCCACTTAAGTTGTCTTCCTCCCAGGATGTGCAGATGAAGGTGGTAAACAGACTGACCTGCAGAATTACAGGGTGATCAACCAACGAAGTAATCGATCAAACTTACATCCGAGGGGGCCATCGTTGATGACGACTCTGTAACCATCTCCCAGCCCTTCTTTTTCACCAATGAGTTTAGCCACATAAAGCAAGTGTCCAAGAACGTCCTTGTGTTTCTCTTCAGCCTAGAAGGATTGAAAACAAAAACAAGGATAGAACTTTAGATCAAACAATCAATGCAAGTAGTATATAATAGATTTGAAAACCTTGGAGAGCTGCGTGAGACCGTCCCGGATCTTTGGAATCAGTACCACATGAACTGGGGCTTGAGGATTGATGTCTCTAAATGCCAGTGCCTTGTTCGCGTGAATTGATCTAAAGAGTGTAAGCAGCGATCACATTAATTAGAAGGACATACTTACCTTCTCGTCCTCGTAGACAATGGTGGATGGAATCTCCTTGCTGAGGATTTTATCAAATCTGGGAGAAAAGAAAGAGATCGATGAACCTTTCTTGAGGAATCTATCTCTACATACATGGTTGGGCCTCCTACATTTGTCTTTGCGGCCTCTTTCGCGGCGGATTCTTCGCTCCTCTGCGCTCTAGCAACACTAAAAGTTCTTCACACACGAAAGCCAAATGACCCTCCAGAAAAACACGAAAAAAAAGAAAATTTGGACACCTTTTCTTGTGCTGCGATAATCGGCACCAAGAACATCGAGTAGCTCCCCCAAATCTAAGCAAAAAACCCAAAATTTGGATGTAAGAATCGATCTTAGAGATTTTTACCTGGAGAGAGGACCTTGCTGGGTTCTCCATAGAATACTCCCAGCGAGGATTACACTAGACATGGTAGCCAAGAACGAATTTTTAGGGTAACCTAGCCTATGCGGGAAAATTTTGGAAAGACCTATCTATTCGAGGGGGTTTTGGGGGTTTTATAATATATCGTCTATGGAGGCGTTTGATTGATTCCAAGAGGCTGTGAGAGACGAGCAATGCTGTTAGGGTCTTCGTCGCTGGCAATCGCGTCGTCTAGGTCCAGGATCTTCTCAGCGGCAGCGGCGGCGGCATCGCGGCGGCACAGCCTCGCCCCGGCTTCTTGCTCCTCCTCATCCCAGGCGCTGCAATGCCGCGATTCTAGAATGGTGGGATCGCCAGTGTTGCCCGCGCGGCGATCGTTCTGCTCCCGCCGGAGCAGCGCCAGCGCCGATTTTGCGGAGAATGGGCGAGAATCTCCCGACGGCGGCATACATTTGATTCTAGGGCCGATGTTTGCTGGGAAGACCACGGTGCTGCTCCAGAGGATTCAAGCGGAGGCCGATGCTGGAAGGTATGTGTTCTTCCAAAGAATTCCCTGGTTAGAAGCTTCTCTTGTTTCTTTGCTTTCTTTGTTTGGAGCATTGGAACGATTTCATTGCATTTCTTTCTTGTTTACACTTGTTCTTTCGCTCGTTCGTGTTTGTGAGGAGTGTAGATCATTAGAACTCCCTGGTTAGAAGTTTTTTTTTGCTTTCTTGGTTCTTTGCATTTTCATTTTCGGTTTGTTTGTTCTTGCGCTCGTTCGTGTTCGTGAAAGGAATCGTAGAAATCTCTGGTTAGAAGTTTCTTTGCTTTCTTTGTTTGAAGCATTGGAGCGATCTCTTTGCATTTTCTTTCTCGTTTAGCTTGTTCTTGTTCGTGAAAGGACTCGTGTAATCCCTGCTTAGAAGTTTCTTTGTTTTCTTTGTTTGAGCTTTGGAACGATCTCTTGCATTATCTTTCTCGTTTATGTTTGTTCTTTCGCTCGTTCGTCTTCGTGAAAGGAATCGTGTAGACCGAGCATTAGCTTCGTGTCCACCGAGAGCATCATCCTAAGCACGATCTTATGGCTAAATCTTTTTTGTCCATTTGAGGCAATCAGTCTATAACGCTTCCTTCGCCATCCTTGTCGTGACGGGGCTCGAACAGCTCCACAAAGAGAAGTCGTCGAGATTTTTGCTTCTGTTTTCTAGCGCATCTACAACTGGTGGAGCATCGTTCTCACATTTGTTTCGTTGCTTTTCTTGTTTATTCCAGGAGAGTCGCCTTGGTGAAATCGGACAAGGACACAAGATATGGCCTCGGCTGCATCGTCTCGCACAGCGGCAAAAAGATGCACTGTGCCGCCGTTGCATCGCTCTCCGACTTCAAGTCACACAAGCCCGAGCTCTACGCACAGGTACTCAAAACTTCCAAAACGAAAAACAAAAAAATCTTACACTTGGATTCCAACCAGGCCGAGATCATCGGCATTGACGAGGCGCAGTTCTTCGACGATCTCTTGAGCTTCTGCCAGTCGGCGGCCGACTGGGACGGCAAAACTCTCATCGTTGCTGGGCTGGACGGCGATTTCTTGAGGTACCAAGAACCAAAAAAACTCTCTTTTTTCTATCTCTGTTTCTCGATCCGTCGCAGGCAGCGCTTCGGCTCGGCGCTGGATCTCGTCCCCCTGGCGGACTCCGTGACCAAGCTCTCGTCGAGGTGTGAGATTTGCGGCCGGGCCGCGGCATTCACGTTTCGAAAGACGGACGATCGACGCAAGGAGGTGATCGGCGGGGCGGACATCTACATGCCCGTGTGTAGGAAGCACTACGTGAACGGACAGTTCGCCATGGAAGCCGCGCGAAGTGTGGTTCTGGAATCCCACTCGCCGCAACGCGACCCTTGTTCGTCCTCGCCAGAGAGAAAGCTCGCGATTGGCTAACTTCCCATTAACTTAGCTTAACTTAATCTCGCTGGTATATGCCTCTTAGATCTAGGATATTCTGTCAATTTCCTTGAATATTCTAAGGTATATTCTGTCTCTGTTAGGTCTTGCCTTAAGGATGTTCATTAGAGTAAGCTGGGGATTAGCTTAATGATAGCTTTAGGGCAGAATAAAAAGGAGGCCAGGGCTGCCAGCGTGCCCTTTTTTGCTCCCATTCCCAGACGCTTGCGCCTAGCGGCTAAGCTCTCCTTTAGCACGGCCTAGCAGCAAATCCTTGGAATCGCGGGAGCTGGCGGACTGATTGCGCCCACGCGCCTCGCATCGTCGCCCCAGCGCCGCCCCCCGCCGCGCCGTGCATCGCCATCGCATCGGCATCGCGCATCGAGCGATAGAGGAGAAAATTTCCAGGGTTTTTGGTTTTTGTGGTAGCATTCCCGGGAGCCCCGATGGATGAGGGCGCGGGATTTGGCAGCAGGTGTAGGGAATTGCGGCCCTGGGCAGGGATCGCCGGATTGCGGTGAAATGTGGCGGCGTGGGAGATTTTGAGCCTCTTCGTCCCCTCTCCCTTTTCTTCCCTTTTCATCCCTTTTGGAGAATCGCTGCATAGGAGCTGAGAATTATCGCAGTGGAGGGCAGTGGGGGCTGTATGTAATGGTGCAGTGGTGGCAGCTGATAGAGCCCACCTCCTCTGGGTGCTGGTGTCGCCACTCCTCTACTAAACGCTCACTTAGGGTTCCTCGATGTCTCGGTGTCATCCATACCCGCCACCGGGATACGAAAAGAAAGCCACCACCGAGCTCATTGCGGACATAGTTCCTGCTGCTCAGGTTGGTGCCTCCTCGTTTTTTTTTTTTTTTCCCTTGCTAGATAAAAGAGAACTCTTTTTCTTTTGCTCGAAGTGTGTACTGATGCTGCCGTTTTTTTTTTCTTGTTTCTTTTCTCTTCGATTCTCAAGGTTGCTACTTCCAAGGAGAAGCACAAGCACAGAGACAAAGAGAAGAAGAAGAAACGAAAGAGGGACGACAAGAATGAGAATAATTCACGTAAGTAACTTTCCTTTGTGTGCGTGTGCATGGCTTAGCCTGTTGGGACCTTGGGATCCACTTGCCTGTGTTTACAGACAAGGATAAGCGATCTAGCAAGAACCAAAAGACGCACGCCAGTAGCAACGATGTTTCTGGGGGAGAGAATGGGAGGTTGCAAGCTGCTGCTGATAGCAAGAGTGCCACTGGCTCGACAAAGGCTGGAAAAGGTTTGCAAGATGCGAAGCTATCGGACAGGGTCACGGGGACTGGGACTGGGTGGCAAGAAGCAAAAGCTCCCGAGACTGGGAAGGCCGTTCTCCAGGAAGCGAAAGCGACCGAGACAGGCAAGGTTTTGGAAGCGAGGAGCTCTAGTTCTACTCAAATCCTGGATGGAAGCTCCAATTCCAAGTCCAACTCCAACTCCAAGGCCGGGGTGGCGGCAGCAGTGGCGAGCACTTCCAAGTACGTAGTTACAGACACCGAGATAAATGGCAAGGTTCCTTTAGTTATGGTAAAGCCGCTCGACACCGGGCAAGTAGTAGCACAGCAGCAGGGACAGCAACACCAACACCACCAAGATCAAAAGATAGAAGACTATCGAGGCAAGAGGGAGGATCAAAAGAGAGAGAACGATCGGGCGAAGAGGGAGGATCAAACGAAGGAAGACGATCGAGCGAGGAGGGAGGATCAAAAGAAGGAAGACGGTCGAGTAAGACGGGAGGATCAAGAGCAAAAGCAGGATACAAAGAAGAAATCGCCACCAAGTGTGGAGAAGGAGAAGGAGAAGGAGAAGCGGCATAGATTTCCAGAGATCAAGCTTGCCGAGATCAAGGAGGAGAGGCTTGAGGAGGACGACGCGCACCTCGAGTGGCTGTATCATAAGAGGAGAAGGGACGAGGGGAAGAAACCACGGGAGGAAAAGGAGAGGGAGGAGGAAGACGAGGTTTGGGCCGAGGCGCGATTTCTTCCAGCCGTGGGCGTGTATGCGTTGCCGTACGTGGTTCCATACTGAGAGGAGGACGCCTGGTACTTAAGTTTCTCCACGTTTTTTACTTTTTTCTTTCTTTTTTTTTTTTGGCTCCTAGTTTGAAATGTGGTATTGGTAACATTTTTTCAATGAGATTTAGGGGCTTAAACCTGCGGACTGTGAATAGATGTCTCAGCAGACCCGTGGAAAAAAATATTTCTTCTGTTTGAAACGTTTTTTCTTTTTTCTTACACTTTTTAAAAATACCTCAATTATCTAAGTACAGTTAGTTTGAATATTTCTCTTTTTTTCGTTTTGTGAGTGCATGGAAATGTGAGTGCAGGAAATATGGAAAGGGAATACAGAAATGTGCAAATCAATTAACCCAAAAACCCTAGCTTATATACAGGAGCGAGTGGTCCGGATTGAAACCAATCCGACAGCTACCAAAATCCACTATGCTAATATTAGTATACGGCATTGTAGCCGTACACTTGGCCCTCACATCATCCCCTCCTCTCGGAATAATGGAAGGCCGTCAGGGTTCTCTTGTAGATGGGCCGGGATCTGGAGGAACGTCAGGAGGAGGCATCGGTGGATCTGTAGACGGTATTAACTGCTCCTGATCCCTCTGTATGAAGCGTTTTAACCGCTGCACATGCACAATCTCCGGAGGATCAGCCTGCTGAACGTCATGCCGAACCTCATAAACTTGTGGTCCAACTTGCCGCAACACCCGATACGGTCCTTTCCACTGCGCAAGGAGCCCCTTAGATAAACCACGTACCGTAAGATGGGGAAAACGGACTAACACCAAATCATCCACTTTGTACTCCGCTGGTGGACGATGATGGGAATTGTAGCGCCGTTGTTGTCCCACTTGTACGCGGCCTAAATGTTCAGCAGACTCTGCTCGGACAAGTGGAAGAATGCTTGTCAAATATTGATCCCATGACCTAGCATCAGGAGCTCGTGGCAATCGCGAAGGTAAACCTAGCTCTGTTGGTAATATTGGATCATGACCATATAGAAGTTTATATGGTGAAGCACCAATAGAACTCTGCACCCCTGTGACATAAGCATACCGAAGAGACGGCAAATAACCATCCCAATCCGAATGTTGAAAGTTCACATACTTCGCAATCATCCCTTTGAATGTCCGAACAAGCCGTTCCACCAGACCGTCTGATTGTGGATGATAAGCACTCGTAAAAGTGTGGCGTATCCCCAACCGAGATGTCAAAACATGAAATACCTCAGCCATAAATGCAGGACCATTATCCGAAAGAATCCGTTCTGGACAAGAATGCTGGAACACCACTCGATTGAGGAGGAAGTATCCAACAGCAGTTGCAGAGGCACTAGCAAGAGCACCAACTTCCACCCAACGAGTCAAGTAGTCAGAAGCAATAATAACATACTCATTGCCAGCAGTCGATCGCGGAAAAGGTCCCATAAGATCAAACGCCACCAACTCAAACGGACGAGAAACTGCAATTGACTCCAACCGTCCTTCCGCAGCATAAGGGGGAGTATTACGAGCTTGGCACCAAACGCAGCTACGCACATACCGGATAATATCACGTCGCATCTCTGGCCAATAGAAAGATCTGCGCAACTTCTCGGTGACACGACGGTGTCCCATATGCCCACCTAGAATAGGAGAATCATGGTAGGCATGGAGAAACCGCGGAATAAACACCGAAGGCACCACCAGCCGTAAATGAGCATCAGGATCCGTCCCCACAAAATAAAGAAGGCCATCTTCAAGGCGATATTGAGAATGTAAATGCCGAAAAGGCAAGTTATCAGCAAGTGATGCAGGATTCTCAAACCCATCTCGAAGCCTTCGAATCCACGGCTCAATCTTTTGAGCCTCGCGAACCTCATCCAGAGAAGGTAGATCTTGCTCTACGCCCTGTGGACACTGAACGTCAAGGACAGCAACCGTCGACAGCACAGAATCCTCATCTAGAAAATCCACAGATGCTGGAACAACAGGTTCGTCAGAAACATGAGAAGTGAGTGGAGAAGGAAGAGGAGCTCGAGAAAGGGCATCAGCATCAGCCATAGAACTCCCTGGGCGATGAACAACATCGAAATCATATATCTGAAGCTTCAAAGCCCATCGAGCCGTACGACCAACCAGGTTCTTTCGCTTCAATAATGAAGTAACAGCAGCATGGTCACCTTCAAGTAACGTCCGAGAACCATGTAGATAGGCATGAAGTTTCTCGAAACCCCAGACTGCTGCTAAACACTCCTTCTCCGTCGTGGAGTAGTTCATCTCCGCTGGTTGTAATGTACGGCTTATGTATGCAATGGGATGGCGCTGACCAGGCACACTCGAGCTCTCTTGCATCAACACACCTCCAAGACCAATGTCAGAAGCATCCACGCGCAAAATAAAAGGTCGAGTGTAGTCAGGATATGCCAAAACCGGAGGAGTCGTCAATAGCTCTTTGAGATTCACGAACGCCCGCTCACAATCGGGAGACCAGATGAAAGATGACGTTGATGACTTCAGCAACGCTCGCAATGGTAAAGTACGATCGGAAAGATGATCCACAAAACGACCGAGATACTGCACCTTACCCAAAAAACGCTGCACATCATTCACACACTTCGGAGTAGGGAACTTTAGAACAGCCACAAGTTTGTCAGGATCAACTTGCAAACCCTCACGAGAAATACGGTATCCAAGATAAGTTGTGTCCTTGGACCCAAACACGCACTTCGACCGCTTCAGCTTTAAACCAACGTCGCGTAGCCGATCCAACACTTTACAAACATCACGAACATGCTCCTCCCACGTCCCCTCCGAGTGGATCAAGACATCATCAATGAAGTCAGCCGTCACCTCCGGCATATCGCAAAGAACCTCGTCCATCATTCGCTGAAAAGTTGCTGGAGCATTGTTCAAACCAAACGGCATCACCAAAAACTCGTACAAACCAAATGGTGTACGAAAAGCAGTCTTAGGAATATCGTCTTCAGCCATCGATACTTGCCAATACCCAGAAGCAAGATCTAGCTTGGTGAACCAACGACTTCGCCCCAGACGATCCAAGAGATCAGCAGTGTGAGGAAGAGGGTACACGTCCGGGATCGTCACTTCATTTAACGGACGATAGTCGATGCAGAAACGAATACTCCCATCAGGCTTCGTCACAAGATGAGGTTCACATGCCCAAGGACTCCGCGACTTCCGAATAACACCCTTCTCCAACATCTCCTTGACATTTGCACGTAAAATCTTGATCTCCTTAGGTGACCGACGACGAACAGGAACCTTGATTGGACGAGCATCCCCGGTTGGAATGGGATGACGTGTGGCAATCTTGGCCCCAGACGATAGGTCAAATTCAAAGAGATCAGAATACTCCTTCATGAGCTGGTCAACAGCTGCAACACAAAGATCATTGGAGGGATCGGAAAAGGGAAGAGCAGAACAAGATGGAAACACAAGAGGAAATAATGGGGGAACAAAAGTAATGGAAGCAGAGGTAGAAGTAGAGGGACGAAGAGGTACAGAAGTGAGAGGAATGGATGAAACATAAGGAAGTATGAGACAAGGGGGAAAAGCCTCAAAGTCACACTTGGCATGATTGTGCTGCAACCAATCCATACCAAGAATGAGGTCAAAAGCTTGACTCGGCACCACCCGCAACGACTGCAACTCAAACTCGAGATCGCCCACACGCACAACCAGGTCCGCCTCATCTCGTGCACATGCATGTGTACGGCCGTTGCCATAAAGAATGAAAACTGGATCCGCCGCACGACGCAAGTGTAGACGACAACGTGTGGCAACAGGTCGAGCAATAGAAGATAAACTCGAACCTGTATCAACCAACACGGAGAGAAGAATAGGAGACCTCTTGTTATAAAAACGAGCTTGGAAAGTAAACACTGGATGAACCGGTGCCGAGTGAACCCCTTGATGATACTCTCGAAAGAAAGATGGAGGGGTCACTAACTTATTCGCGCAAGGTCCCTCCATTACTCGCGCGACTCCTCGTTTCCCGAATGCACCTCGGTATCCAAACCTTCCACCGCAGCAGCACCAACGGGATGTTGTTGACGCCAAGGTCTCCACCCAGGAAATGGAGGTCGCCAATCCGGAAAGCGCCGACAACGCCGATAAGTATGACCAACTTCATCACACGCCCAGCAACGAATGTCACGGCCACGACCACGTCCTCGCCCTTGTCCTTGGACTCGAGTAGCAGCAGCATCAACCTCCATGGGAACAGGACCATCACTCATAGGAAGTGGAGCTGAAGGACGTGTAGCAAGAAGTGGAAGAGGCGACGTCTCATAACGTTGTGCCAAGCGAAGAGCATCGTCAAGAGTGGCAGGGGCAAGTGCATGCACAAGTCCGACAAGATCTTGACGAAGTGCTGGCCACAGCATTCCTAGCTTGATCCGCTCCGACATATTTGGCTCCGCACGAAGCAAAAGACTTCGGAAACGAACGCCAAATTGCATCACCGACTCAGATGGCCCTTGGCGAAGACGATGCAATTGTTGGAAGGCATCATCACAATCGTCGGCGTGTCCGAAGGCGCGTTTGAAGACGTCCGGAAGAACACTCCAATCGCCACGAGTAGCTGCGCTCAATCCATTGTACCACTGCAATGCCGTCCCTTGAAGACATGTGGGGAACTCACGCAAACGTCGAGCATCATCCCAAGAATGATATGTGGCAATCACCGTGAAGTGATCGAACCAATGGTACACATCATCCCCAGGATTCCCACGAAAGAACTCCGGCCGAACGCGAGGATTGGCACCAAAAGCAGGAGGAGTTGTACCATGTGCCGTGAACGCCGCCATCAACTGAGTTTGGTTGTTCAATTGCAGGCGCATAGCATCAAGCAATTGAACCAACTGCTGCTCTAGAGTCAAAGGAGGAGATTGCGGATCGGCCATGAAAATGAATGAGAAAGAAAGAGCAAAAGAAGAGAAATGACAAAAAGCTGGAAAGAAATGGTAGATCTAAACAATGCAAAAAGCTAGATCTAAACTAAAATCCTGAAAGGAAAGAACAAAAGAAAAGAAATGGAAAAAGCTAGATCTAGACAATGCAAAAGCTAGATCTAAACCGAAATCCCAAATCCAAGCACTCCCCAGGGACAATCAAAGGTGCCCCTCACCTCCACCAATGTGAGTGCATGGAAATGTGAGTGCAGGAAATATGGAAAGGGAATACAGAAATGTGCAAATCAATTAACCCAAAAACCCTAGCTTATATACAGGAGCGAGTGGTCCGGATTGAAACCAATCCGACGGCTACCAAAATCCACTACGCTAATATTAGTATACGGCATCGTAGCCGTACACTTGGCCCTCACAGTTTTAATTTTAAAAATAACTTATAAAGGAAATATAATAGATCATAATACAGAAAATATAATAGTAAAAAAGAATTCAAGTTTAAAATATTTCACCTTTTCTAAAGACAATAATATCTTTAATTATAAAATTAATGAGAAAAAAATAATCCACCTTCATTCATAATTCATAATTAAGTATGACATTAAATACAAAGTACCATTTGAAGTAAGAAAAATTCTTGAAATGTTATAACAATAGTTATTATTAATGTAGTTAAACTACACAATTTGAAGTTATTATATTATATATTTATTTTTAAATAAAAATAAAAAATATGTTTCTTTTAATGTGCTTTATAAATTTATAGCTTAATGAATAAACGATGTTCTAACAAACCAATGTATTTCATTTATATGAAAAATAAATTCACAAATTAATGTGATATTTGAAGACTATTCTTTTTGCTACCAACTTCAAAAGGTAAGTTATTATTAAATTATTAAGTTCATGTAAGTTAAAAATGATATTTGATGATACTATTATTCCTTATTTCACATATTTTAGAAATTTGTAGACTTATTTTTTAAATGTATATTATTGTTATGGAAGCCATCATTAAAATTTTAATTGTTTTTTTTTCACTAAAAGTGTGAGGGAGGGCTTTTAAAGAAAAGTTGCAAAATCATCTGGCACTCACCAAAATCCAGATGGAAGATGTGGGACGTTTTTGCTTCAGGCTCCACTTGTTATTATGAGTTCTTTAGAAAAATGGAGTGGCTCTGAGAAGAACTTGAAGTTGGCCACAACTACTAACTCCCAAACTTAAACTAGGAGGCACACATGAACTGTAAACACCATTTTATATCCACCATGCCACTACATCACATTGTGGCAACCACTTGTCCAGTTAGTGTAGAACTGATAAATCTACCCATATCAAGGTCGTGAATTTCTCAATCATAAGCATCCCTAGTGTCAAAAAGGCAAAAAAGATAAATAGTGTTTAAAACCGTAAAAAAGGTTTAGTACCACCTTCTTCAATCAATATAAACTCCGTCGTCTGGTGCGAATTCTCCACCGCCTTGGACACCCGGATCGCCGCCAGCCACAGTTCTTGAGCCTCGCCGAGCAGCTTCCACACCGATCCCGAGGGTGCTCGTCGCCATCGTCACACACAACAATATACTTCATTGGATTTACAATCATCGCAGCTATACCATCACTTGATTTCCAGGAGCAACAGTTACAGGGATTCCCGAGTATGTCCCTCGCTCTTTCATTTCTCGGTACTCTTGGCACACTGCGCAGGGATGGCAGCACAAGTGCGTGAGAAAGTCGCCGCACGGAGCATCCTGGAAAACACAAAAAAAAAAAAAAAAAAAAAGAAATCGTTGATCAGATACACAAGGAAAGCAAATCGCTTCAACTTGAAAAGAACTTGGAAACTGTGAGATGGAGTTACCTCGAGATTATACTTGTCTCTCAGTGTTTTCCTGTAGCCACAAGCGTAGCATGACACGCATGACGCAGCGACGCCGAGAGCAGTTCCTTCCGTCAGTGCACAGCAAAGTCCAGTGACAGCGCCCCAAAGAAGAAGATGCATCACGCACGGCCCGACCCACGGCCGATCTTCCAGAGTCTCCACATTCCGGCCAAAGAGTATACAGGGGCAAAACAAACCAAGGCAGCCTACACACAAGAAAAACCAAGGAAATGGATTAGAACTCTTATGAAACAAGCATACCCAGAGAACAGTGAATGAAACTTAGTACAAACAACAAGACTAGAACTCTACTATGCATCAAAGAGTTGGAAAGCTTTGTCAAACAAACAAGAAAACCAAGAGGAAACGGATATGAAACATCCGTCCCAGAGAACCAACGAAAACAGTGAATGAAAACGAAAACGAAGAACAAATCTTAGAACTCTAAGCATCAAAGAGTCCCTCCCATACTGGAAAACTTTACAAGCTCAAATCAATCGAAAAACTAAAGACTCGAGTGCAGCCAAATCGAGACTGGAAACTCACCGGAAAGCCCAAATAGGGAAAGAAAAAAAATGCGAAGCACAGGAGGAAAGATCGATCACTCACAGCTCGGAATATCGTCGGAGCAAGCGCAAATCCCAGAGGTCCAGCGCAGGGGGCGCTCATGCTGATGGAAGGGCACGGTGCCATCCTCTGCTGCTAGCGGCTGGTAGCTCGCCCTCGAGGAAGAGAGATCCGGCGCATCCATCGCCAACGATCGCTGGCGCAAGCCCTAAACCTTGGAGAACGAAGGCGTACGAAACAAGGGAAAGGTGAAACTCATGGCACGGTATTTTAATTTCGTGGGCTATGTTTTTAGGGTTTCGCTGGTCCTCCCCGCGCTGTAGATAGATTCGCGCGCGTTTTCCTTTGCTCGCCCATCCCAGCGCCGGGAGCTGGATCGCGCGATCTAGCCTAGCAGAGGTGTGGAAATATGGGAAATGCGATCGCGGCGATGGCGATCTAGGGGCGGTCCATGAGCAGCAGCTCCGCCGCCTCGACTAGCTCCAGGAATCTCGTCCTCGGCAGCGTCGCGGTTGCGGATTGCGATTGGTGTGGCTGCTGCTCGCCGCTGTGCGCCAGGATTATGAGTTCCGCGGCGCGGCTGAGGCGGCGCGTCCATCACAGCGATGTGGGAGGGAAGAAATTCGAGCGCGTTCTCTCCAGTGGATCCGATGGATTGAGCGAGCCCCTTCTCGCAGTGTGTTCTTCCTTCCTTTGCTCGCTCTTATCGATTTAACTTTTTTTTACAGGGTGGAGACGATGAGTATTTTGAAGATTGGAAGGAGAAGAAGAGAAGGGAGGAGCATGAATGGTCGCAGATTTTCACTCGGCTCCTTGCTCAATGGAGCCAATGGCTGTGTAAGCTTTGCTCGTGCTCTTGACACTATCACTCTCTTTTTCTTTCTTTCTTTCTTTCTTTCTTTCTCTGCAGCAATCGTGCTTTTAGGCTCGGGATCCTTGCTTGGTGACATGATCAATCGTGTTTTGTATCGTCGAGACGAAGGTATCGTGCATATCGATCTAACACCTGTACAGGTAATCTTTCATTCTTTCGCCATCACTAGCCAAACGATTCTTTCGTGATGTGCAGGAAGAACGGCTTCACAAGCTCCAGAAACGCTTGCAAGTTGCTTTTGATGGAAGCAATCCCAAACACGCGGTAAGACAAAGTCTTCTCGGAGATGGCTTTTTCTCAAACTGGGAGAATGGCTGTCTTTCAGGAAGCACTGGTAGCGCTGTGGCACGAGGCTTTCCCTGGCCGTCTCTTCGATGGTTTGATCACGGAGAAGTGGAAAGAAATGGGATGGCAAGGCACGGATCCTTCGACGGATTTCAGGTCCTTTTCTCAATCCATTCATGCTCGCCAATTTCTCCAATTCCATGCAGAGGTGGTGGATTCATTTCCCTGGAAAATCTGCTCTTTCTAGCGCAGCGCTATCCGGTATGTTACTTATCATTCCTTCCAGCAAGATTTCCTCACATTTTCTACGTTTCTAGAGATCGTTTTCGAAGCTGCTGCACAAAGAGGAGGGCCAGCGATCCGAGTGGGAGTATCCGTTTGCGGTGGCAGGCATTAACGTGTCTTTCATGCTTATCCAGATGCTCGACCTTCGATCAGGTAACAACCGAGCTGCGCGATTCCATTATTGACTTACTCGTGCGCTCTGTGCTCTTGTTTGTTTGTATAGAAAAGCCGAGCTCTCTATCCGGACTGAAATTCGTGAAGATCTTGGCCGGTACGTTCTCCATTTCATTACAGCGACGTTGTCCTTGAAGGAATCTGGCTATATTGGTATTGCAGAAGACGAGCAAGCTTTTGACGTGCTGTACTGCGTAGCGTTTGAGATGATGGATGCACAGTGGCTGGCAATGCGTGCTTCCTACATGGAGTTTAACGTACGTTTCCTCGCTTTCTTCGTCTTTGCGATTAACGAAGGATTGTTTAAGATTGTTCTTTGTCTAATCAGGCTGTCCTAAGCGCAACCCGTTCTCAGCTCGAGCGTGAGTTGTCTCTAGATGATGTCTACCGAGTTCAGGACCTCCCCGCATACACACTCTTGTGCAGATGATTCTTAATCTCGGAAAATGGACAAACTATGACTCTAAAACTTAATATTTGAATCGGTCCATCTTGTGTATTATTATTATTGGTTAAGATTATTTGACTCAAAATAAATTCAATTAAATTTATTATGCACTTGGATTTATCAGCCCTTCTGGACGCAACGTTGCGAAGCAATTATACTCGTTCAAATCCCCCTTAGGGTAGTCCAAGTTCTTCTAGTACTTAAGTACGGCACTTTGAAAATCATACACTAGGGACCGCCTTCCGTGCAGAAGACGGTTGTGAAGAAAAATCTTCACACAGCACAGCATAAAAGCCCAGACCTTGACGAGAACTTCTGCCAAAGAATCAAGATCTAGATCATAGCAGAGAGCAATCAGGAGTTTTTAGATCCATGGCGTTCAACATCTTCTTTGTTATAGCTCTCATGCTTCTCTCATCAGCCGACTTACAATCCTTTGTGGAAGCTGCCGATCCCGATCCATGAACGAAGGCTCTCCCTGCAAGCCATACTCGCAAGTCACCTCCAAAGACTTCTACTCAAGCCTCCTCCGCACCAACACCGATACTACAAACACCCTCAATCCTCTCTTCAACTTCACGCAAGCCATCGTCACCACTTTCCCGGCTCTCAACACCATGGGACTGTCCGTGGCTCGGATCTATCTCGGGCCAAAGGGTGTTGCCAGGACTCACACTCATCCCCGGGCGAGCGAGCTTGTTTACGTCGAGAAGGGTGTTGTGGAGGCTGGCTTCGTGGACACGAACAACAAGTTCTTCGCCCACAAGATGCGTGCCGGCGATCTGTTCGTGATCCCGCGAGGCGTGCTTCACTACATGGTGAATGTTGGACAAGAGCAGGCGATTCTTTTGGGGGTGCTCAACAGCCAGAATCCTTCCTTCCAGATACCATCGTCTGCATTGTTCGGACCAAAGTTGCCGTATGAAGTCCTGGAAGCGTCTTTCAGTCTCAACAGGACCATAAAAAAAAAACTTAAAACAAAAAGAAGTTTGCAATAAGTAGCATACCCATCTCCACAAATCTTGCAATGACTAGATGGTCACATATAGACCAACCTTAAGCCTTTAGAAGAAGATAGAAAACGATTGATTGACTGGAACAGAACAGTGCATTTAACCTCTGCACAAGACATTTGCTTCATAATTTCAATCTGTTAGCAATGCATTAGAAACAGTTAGAATGTCCTTCATTCAAACCAACCAATTTTGGAGCATTGCTACAACATGTAACCAAAAAAAAATTCCATTATAACATAGGTCATTGCTTGTCCTTTGACAAGAAAATGAAAGCCCTTTTTAACCTTCTCCATTTTTAGGAATTAAGTATGTGACAATGAAAAAAAATCAAAAAGACCTCTAATGTATCAGCTTCCTTGTCAAAGTTTTCTTTAATTTCTTGCTCAAAGTCCAACTTTCAACCAACTTCTTTTGTATTTGCTGGGCTTCTACTTCCTCCAATACAAAATCTTTTATGAGTCTACAAGTAGGTGATTACTTATTGTAAGCCATAAATTTTTCCTTTCCAATTTGCCAGCTTACCTTGTCTATCTGACCAACACTGCCTTGGCTTGTGCTAAGTTCCCTTGCCAAGGTTCTCGCCTATTGTACCAGCTCCTACTTGGTCCTACTTGGTTTCAACTATTCACTGCACGAGCAACGGAGTGTTAACCATCCATTTACAAATTCCCAAATCTATCCTCCCCGGGTTAGACTGGACTTAAGGTTCGACTACACTCCCCGCAAGCACAAGCAGCCAAGCACACCAAGCCTCCAAGTTTCTAACACCACTTGGTATAACAAGACTTGATCATGGGACCCTCTAAATCCCAAGCCTTAGGTGCAGCACTTGCTTCGGGACGTCGGGGTGAAACACCGTGGCCTAATGGCCCGGTATGGGTACCTCTACCCCCCGACTTCCATCTCGAAAGGAAGGTCCAAGCCCCTAGGAAGGGCGAGGACCAATAAGCTGCATAGTACTTAAGTAGGGCACCACTCCACATGAGCCGGGAGCACTGCAATCGGTTTCCCTTTCGGGAGTGGGAGCTGCTCTTGAGCACTTCCTTGGATGGCCCCTCCGGCACCAACCAAGTCCATGCTCACTCCCACCCAAGGCCCCTCGGTCCCAGTCCCAACCTCAAGTCAGTTTAGAAGCCCCATTGGAGAGTTCCTTCAAAACTGGTTCCTGGACCTCACTATCCCTACTATACTTTTGGAACCCCCTACAGCCCCCCCCCCCCCCCCCCCCCTGGGAGACGCACGCTTTGGGCTTTCACCCCTTGACCCGTATTAGTACTCGGACTTAGTCTCTGGCTCGATCTCGGACTCGATCTCGGATCCGACTTCGGATTCGGTCTCGGACTCAATCTTGGCCTCAATCTCGGACCCGATCTCGGACCCGACCTCGGACTCGACCTCAGACTCGACCTCAGACTCGGTCTTGGACCCGATTTTGGATCTCAGACTCTGTCTCGAACTCGGTCTCCGAGTCGGTCTCGGACTCGATTCCGGACTCTATCTCGAACTCGGTCTTAGAGTCAGTCTTGGACTCGATCTTAGACTTGGTCCCATCCGATGAACTCTTTATCATTTTGGTCATGCTTTCGGGGCTCTTTTAGCCTATGACACCTCGGTGAGTTGGTTCCTTACAACTCCACCACCCATAGAAGAAGTTCGATGCCCACATCGAACGTCTCTTTTTTATCCTACGACTTGTTGACCATGTCTCTGGGGGCATCCCCCCACTTAGCGGTGTGCCTAAGTTAGCCTCCCGGGCCAAGAGCCGATGACAACGGAATATAGGTGTCCCTATACTCCTCACCTCACCATGCCCTAGTATGGGGTTGGGACTTGAACCCAACCTTGCTTTACTAGGGGGTTGGGACTTGAACCCAGAATACGTCTACGGATTTGACATCCCCGTAGGGAGTCGGGCGTAGTCCCCTATGCCTGGTTGACCTACCTAACCCATGCTAATTAGCTTACCTTCGGCGCGCCTTTGGGTCCCAACATATGCCATTGCTCAACTTCTCAAATTGATACATTTAATTGAACTTTGCATAAGTACATAGAGTTCTGCCTTGCAAAAATTCCTCCACTAGATCTCGTGCGTTCGCTAGGTTCTCCTCCAGTTCCCATGTTGCTTTGCAGTGTGGAAATCCTTTCCACTTCACATAGAACTCTCTCACCTTGCGTCCTTGTCAC